GAAGAATAGCCAGTGTCACATTCAGACAGGACACAGACAAGCTGAGTAAAGCACTTGACAATCTACAGCTGGGTGAGATAGAGGTCCTGTATGAGAGTGTGCTGGACCTGAAGGCTACTCCTGTGTTACAAGACACCATTGACGTCAAAGTAGCAGGCGATACATCTACAACGTGGCCTTTTGGAGTGACAGTGGTGATGGTGGGTGGTACAGACACGGTTGTAGTCACCGACTACAACAACAAGAGTGTGAAGTCCTTCTACACCAGCAACAATCAGCCAGGCCACAGTAAGCTCCTGCTTGATACACCTCCCTATGGTATTACTAAGTTGACACACGATCAGGTAGCTTTCACTGTGCCAGGCACCGAACAGATTGTAACAGTAAAAGTCAAACCAGACCTGGAGTTACTGACAACCATCACAACCAGCAAAGCGTATTGGGGTATAACGTCCCTGAGTCCATCAACACTAGCAGCTTGTTCCCGCTCTCCTCCCTGTGTTGATATCCTGGATATGACAGGAAACGTGCTGAGGTCTATCAGTCCACGTCACAAAGGTAACACCATCTTACAGTATCCCGACTTCCTCAGTACCACGAGGACAGGTAAGATCCTGGTGTCTGACTTGGCAACCTAGTGTGTCGTGTGTCTGACCCCCGATGGAGACGTGGTGTTCTGCTACCGCCCTACAGGAGACACAGCACTGATGTATCCTCGGGGTATCACAAGTACCAACACAGGCGATATCCTGGTTACAGACACCAGACTACACAGAGTCATCCATCTGACTGAGTCAGGACAGTTTGTACAAAATCTGCTGACATCCAAGGACAGTATTCAGGATCCACTTGGACTGTGTATAGATGAGAGAAGGTGGCTACGTGTTTGTCTTCACAAAGGTGTCATACTGACGTTCTCGTGTAAATAGAGAAACACTGATGAGCTGCTGCTACATGTCAGGACATTCTGGTAGAAACATACAGACAGAAGATGGTAGTGTTGTGCTGCTACATGTCAGGACATTCTGGTAGAAACATACAGACAGAAGATGGTAGTGTTGTGCTCCTACATGTCAGGACATTCTGGTAGAGACATACAGACAGAATATGGTACTCTTGTGCTACTACATGTCAGGACATTCTAGTAGAAACATACAGACAGAAGATGGTAATGTTGTGCTGCTACATGTCAGGACATTCTGGTAGAAACCTACAGACAGAAGAAGGTAGTGTTGTTCTGCAACATGTCAGGACATCCTGGTAGAAACATACAGACAGAAGATGGTAGCGTTGTGCTGCTACATGTCAGGACATTCTGGCAGAAACATACAGACAGAAGATGGTAGTGTTGTGCTGCTACATGTCAGGACATGCTGGTAGAAACATACAGACAGAAGATGGTAGTGTTGTGCTGCTACATGTCATGACATTCTGGTAGAAACGTACAGAGAGAAGATGGTAGTGTTGTGCTGCTACATGTCAGGACATTCTGCAAGAAATATGCAAACAGAAGATCGTAGTGTTGTGTTCCTGCATGTCTGGACATTTTGGTAGAAACATACAGACAGAAGATGGTAGTGTTGTACTGCTGCATGTCAGGACATTGTGGTAGAAACATAGAGACAGACGATGGTAGTGTTGTGCTGCTGCATGTCAGGACATTCTGGTAGAAACATACTGACAGAAGATGGTAGTGTTGTGCTGGTACATGTAAGGACATCCTGGTAGAAACATACAAACAGAAGATGGTAGTGTTGTGCTGGTACATGTAAGGACATCCTGGTAGAAACATACAAACAGAAGATGGTAGTGTTGTGCTGATACATGTCAGGACATTCTGGTAGAAACATACAAACAGAAGATGGTAGTGTTGTGCTGCTACATGTCAGGACATTCTGGTAGAAACATAAATACAGATGATGGTAGTGTTGTTCTGCTACATGTCTGGACATTTTGGTAGAAACATAAAGACAGAAGATGGTAGTGTTCTGCTGCTTCATGTTAGGACATCCTTGTAGAAACCTACAGACAGAAGATGGTAGTGTTGTGCTCCTAGATGTCAGGACATTCTGGTAGAAACATACTGACAGAAGATGGTAGTGTTGTGCTCCTACATGTCAAGACATCGTGGTAGAAACATAGAGACAGCAGATGGTAGTGTTGTGCTGCTCCATGTCAGGACATTCTGGTTGAAACATACAGACAGAAGATTGTAGTGTTGTCCTGCTACATGTCAGGACATTCTGGTAGAAACATACAGACAGAAGATGGTAGTGTTGTGCTGCATCATGTCAGGACATCCTGGTAGAAACATAAAGACAGAAGATGGTACTGTTGTGTTCCTCCATGTCAGGACATTCAGGTAGAAACATTGAGAGAGAAGATGGTAGTGTTGTACTGCTACATTTCATCACATTCTGGTAGAAACATAGAGACAGAAGATGGTGCTGATACATGTCAGGACATTCTGATAGAAACATACAGACAGAAGATGGTAGTGTGGTGCTCCTACATGTCAGGACATTCTGGTAGAAACATACAGACAGAAGATGGTGCTGATACATGTCAGGACATTCTGATAGAAACATACAGACAGAAGATGGTAGTGTGGTGCTCCTACATGTCAGGACATTCTGGTAGAAACATACAGACAGAAGATGGTAGTGCTGTGCTGCTACATGTCAGGACATTCTAGTAGAAACATACAGACAGAAGATGGTAGTGTTGTGCCCCTACATGTCAGGACCATCTGGTAGAAACATACAGACAGACGATGGTAGTGTTGTGCTCCATACAGACAGAAGATGGTAGTGTTGTGGGAGTGCCCTCTTGTCTGTCTACAACAAGGTTTATCTAGTTGTCCATATTGTCACAAAACATCACAAAGTAACTGCCATGTGACGGCGACATGTAGTCAGACCAGACAATCAAGTAATGAACCTGTGTGTTCCTTTTGAAACTGTGTCGGGGTTGCGGGTGGAAGTACTAATGTCCTCTACTTCCATACACTGTGCGTAGGAGTGGCTCAAGGAGAAATTAAGGACAACACAACACAACACCATACAAGACAACAACAATATAGAAAAAATACACAAGCCAGACACCTTCTCAACAACGATGGTTCCAGCTCAACATCCACGTGTTTCATCACAGAGACACATCCAAAAAAAAGCAGTCGGAATTTTAAGCCTACCTTAATACCTTAATATATCCATGAAGTTGAACATTTTATACACTTATACCAAGTTTCAGGGGACACATAAGCATCATATAGTATGACCAGAAATTATTGAGAATTTTAGGATTATATTTAATTGGATTTCTAGTGTAATCAACCTTGACTAGCTATCAAGTATTTGGTTTCATTCAAGAGAGACAACTCCGTTAATCCTTTTTCATTAGTTTGTGAAGAGTTATCCCCCTTTGTTTACTTGCTAGCAGACGACATTTTCAGTGATCCTCAGTATGGATGATTTAGAGAAGAGGAAGTTGATTTTAGAGTATTATAACAAGGACATCAGATCAGCTAAAGTAATTTCAAGTAGAACAGGCATCCCTTTGTCCACTGTTTATCGTGTTTTGAAAAATATTGCAATGAATATGGCATTGAGCACCAGGGAGGCGCAGGTAGGCCAAGAAAATTGACTGTCGGTGACAGGAGGCCGCTTGGTATTCTTGTTTCTAAAAACAAACGAAGGCTGGATATGATTGATAGAGGAACTGTCGTAGTCTGTAAGGAGACAATTAGAACTGAGCTGCATGCAATGGGTTGGCAGAAAAGTCGAGGAATTCCTGTGAGGCTGTTTCCTAACACACTGAATTTCTGGACCAAACAAACTGAAACCTTTCTATGCTCACGTGTTCAATGGAAATTTTAGGATTTTCCAGCAGGACAATGACCCAAAACATCGTTCAAAGCATTCACAGGCCTGGTTTCAGACCCAAAATATGACATTATTAGATTGGCCAAGCTATAGCCCTGACCTAAATCCAATAGAAAATGTTTTGGGACTTATGAAGGAAAGTGTCAATAAGAAACATCTGACAAGTATTGCTGAAATGAAAGAATAGGTGGTTCGATATTGAGACAGCATGGACCACGACTTTCTAACTTCTTTGATCAGTAGTATGCCCCGCCGCATTGAAGCCTGCATTGCTGCCCATGGTGACTTGACAAAATACGAACTGTTCACCTGTCTTTGAATCTGGAGTTATGTTCTGCGAATATTCACATTTAATACGTGAGTAATGAGTGAATTATTTTTTTTAAATTACAATCTTTAAATTCTCAATCATTTCTGGTTGTACTGTAATTGGTCATTTAATGGTTCCAGATGAAAATGAAAATGAAACAAGTCATCACTGTGAGTGAGTGTTGTCTTTTTAAAGAATATTCAGAGAACATCACGGCGGCGAATACAAATGGTTTTCACAAATTCTAAACATGTGGGGAGTCGAACCCGTGTCTTTAGTATGACGAGCGGACGCTTTAACCTTTGGGGTACCCCACCGCCCCTCTAGTTACCAGATGACCAGCAACATTCTTACTCGGGATACTCAGCCTGGATGTTTAGAAACTTGATCCTTGTTGTTATAATGTCACTGCAACACCTGTGTAGTGTTTTGTATGAGTCAATTGGGGTGTCCCCCGCACTATTGTTGAAATATTGCCAAGTGCGATGTAGAACTAAACTCACTTAGTTTGCGAAACATTTTCGGGGTAACTGTGTAACTGGCAAAATTGAGTGAGTTTAATTTGTATGTACGTTCCGATAATCTCCAGGGTATATACGTTCCGATAATCTCCAGGGTATACGTTCCGATAATCTCCGCTATATGATGGTTTACAACATGGTTGCGGTCTTCCCTCTCTGAAATGGCAGCACGTGGCACGTATGCGTTGTAATACTGTTAAGAAAACGTCGCAGGTGTGGTTTGATAAAGAATGTGAATATTATAGCTGTGAGAGAAAGAGGCTGTTATCTGTGTTGAGGTCTCATAAGGAAATAGTTTCTTTACAGAGGTACATACAGGCAAGAAATAAGTATACATCAGTGTTGAGAGATAAGAAGCGTAGCCATAATGTCAGTTCTTGTAACACTTTGTTAGATAATTTACACAATAGTAAAATGTTCTGGTCTGTTTTCAAAAGACTTTCACAAAGTTCATCACGTCGGTCCAATATATCCATAACACAGTGTTGTGATCATTTTATGAATCTCTTTAACACGGATGATGATGTAGTTGACGATGAAAGTATAGATTTAGAGACAGACGAAGGTTTGATAACATTCTCGATTCTCCAATTGTTGAAGGTGAAGTTGTAGAAGCAGTCAAGGGTTTGAAATGTAACAAATCTGCAGGTGCTGACAAATTGCGGAGTTCTTCCACAGTTCCTTTGATTTGTTAATACCATATTTGGCATTATTATTAATGTTCCCTTGCACAGAGAGGGGGATATTCATTCTCTAATAATTTCCGAGGAATTACAATTTTGAGCATCATTAGTAAAATGTATGTATCTCTTTTGAACAGACGTCTTACATGTTTGACTAATGCCTATGACAAACGTGTGGAATCACAGGCCGGATTTCGTCAGGGATACTATACCATAGGGGTGGGTATTGCAGAGAATATTCATATTGCGATATATTGCATGAAGTATTTCTAAACAAAAACACTACTATAATCTAGTTACTGATTGATTTATAGAGCAAAAACACAACAAAATCACTATGCTTGATTAAGCTTTCATAACAAATTTTAATCATGATAAAATAAAAATGTGAATAATATTTGGCAGAAATGAAACAAGGAAATACCCGAAGATTTCCGAGTGTTACGACGTTTTACGAATGCAAGTCAAAATACCGGTTTTTGATCAGCGTATCGCAATACGTATCGTTTTCATGTCTGGACCGGTAAATACCGGTAAACCGGTTATATTGCGCAACCCTACTATACCATTGACAATATATTTATTTTACAATCAGCCATTCAGTGGTATTTATCAACGAAAAGGGGAAAGCAGTATGCCGTATTTGTAGATTTCTCAAAAGCTTTTGATCTAGTGAATAGGTCGAAATTATGAATGGTTTTTTAAAAGAGGGCTTTCTCCAAAAATGTTAAAGTGAGTACAAACTATACTCAGCAGAAAAATAAACGTCAGTACGATTTCAAAATTAGATAGGCACTGTAATCAAATCATTACAGAAATGGACATAATAAGCGGATCAAAAACATTTTTTGTGTACAATATTTTGACACATCAATGAATAAGTCAGCACAATTTCAAGACATTACGTGAACGTTTGCAGTCTATTCAGACTCTTGACTTCAGAATCTAGTGTGACCATCACGAGCGGCAATAACTGCAGCACAGCGTCTATGCATGGACTGTACCAATCGATTGATGAAGGCCATTGGCACCTGGAACCACACTCTGGGAAAGGCCTGGCGCAATAAACTGGCCTTGGTATGACATTATTCAGTCTCCTCTGAATATCGTCCCAAAGATGTTTAGTTGGGTTTAAATCAGGACTAAGGGCTGGCCACTGCATAATGTTGACACCGTTGTGCTGGAGGAAGTCCCGTGTAGCTCTGGCAGTATGGGCCCGGGCGTTATCATGCTGGAAAATGTTGTTCCGGTGACGTGCGAAACATGGGGTCTGAGAGCTTGGTCGATGTAGCGCACCGCTGTGATGCCGCCTCCTCTCCTGGACCAAGGTTCTGGAACACAACAGGACCCACTCTCTGGTTCAGGCCTATTCCACCCCATATCATGATGCTTGCGCCTCCCCATGAGTCTCTATCCATAACACATTAGTCTGAATGACGTTGGCCACGTCGTCGCCATATTCTTGTTCTGCCATAAGCAGTTGATACGCAGTACCGACTCTCATCTGTGAACAGAACAGTTCTCCATTGCCTCTATCGCCAGTTTTGGTGTTGTAGGGCAAACTGTAGACGTTCACGCCGATGACGAGGGGTGGGGATAGATCCGCGGTAAGGTCTACGGCAATGGGGATTCCCGCTGTTAAGACGTTGGCGTACTGTATCAGTACTGAATGATCTTCCGTGTGTTCCCACTGTCTGACGTGATGTCTGCATGAAGGGATTCTGTACATGCTATCGCACAACATGGCGGTCTTGTCGTCTTGTTGTCACCCTTGGTCTGCCAGTACGGGGCGATCATTTGTGGTGTTGGTGGGCCGGAAAAGTTGCTGCAGCCTGTAGATGGCTATATTTTAGGATATTTGACACTAAAATTGTGCCTATTTTACTCTATGGGTCTGGGGTTTGGGGGCTAGATAGTGTAACAAATATAGAAACCATTCATATGTTTGCGTGTAAACGCTTCCTTGGAGTGAAGACATCGACGCCAACTTACACAGTACTGGGTGAATGTGGCACATACCCTTTGTATATTTTTGCATATAAACTATCCGTAAAATATTGGATTAGATCATTATATATGTCTTTTGTAAGATATCCAAAGCAGTGGTATAACATGCTTTTTTAAGCAGCTAATAATGGTAAAAATAATTGGGTTTCAAAATCGAACTACTTATTGTTTCGATTCGGTTATGTATGGGAGTCACAAACAGTAACTAGTAAACAGTCCTTTATGGAGAAACTACGGCAAGATTAAAATGTTCGTTTGAACAGGAATGACACACACCTCTCTTTCCAGCAGTTCTAAAACTAGAAATTATATTTTCTTTAAAGGTACCTTTGGAACGGAATAATATCTCAAACGATTAGATCGCCGCCGTTGTGTAGTGGTTAGAGCGTCCGCCCGGAGAGCGGAAGGTCACGGGTTCGATCCCCGACCGCGTCATACCAAAAGACGTTAAAATATGGTACTTGTTGGTCCCCGCCTAGCGTTCGGCATTAATGGGTACAACAAGGACTGGTCGGTTCGGAGTCAGTATAATGTGTCTGAGTGGGGTATTCATGCTTCATGGTATCTCAGTGGGCTAGCACTATAAAACCAGCTTCAGTCTGGGCTAGTACAAGCAGCCGCACATACACATACACACGCATGCATGCACGTCGTCATATGAGTGAAATATTCTCAAGGACGACGTTAAACCCAATTTCAAAATTCCACGTGGCCATGGCGCAGTTCCCATGGACTCAAAATAGAAACAGGCAGATATGTTAATATTCCTATAGATAAAAGGATGTACACTGTGTGTCATGAAGGCTACATCGAAGAAGAATACCATTTTGGGATGGTTTGTGTTCGGTATAAAACACTGCGTGAGACGTACATACCTACTAAATTTATATCATACCCTACGCGTGATAAATCAGGGAGAATAGAAGACTGCAGATTATCCCTGGATAAGTACAGTCGAACCCCGTTGATCCGGACATTTTGGTTACACTCGGAAATCGTGTAATCGTGTATATCCTGCTCTTTGCATCAACGGATGTTGGTGTCGGTAGTAAACTGGCCACGTATATTTGTTATGCAAACTGTTTCAGAATAACCTGTTGTTTAATTATATATTTCTCTCTCTCTCTCTCTCTCTCTCTCTCTCTCTGTGTCTCTCTCTCTGTCTCTCTCTCTCTCTCTCTCTCTCTCTCAACCAAAATTATCGTCTTTAAGAAAGGTGGAATACTAAGTACCTTGGAGTATATTTCTCTAATAGACTTTCCTGGTTCAAACACACAAAACAAGCGTAAGTACAAGCCTTGAAAACTTGGTGTTTGTAAAAATATGAGATCTTTAGGTGAAATGTCCTTTAACACATTCTTTAAAATGTTCGATATGAAGATAAGTCCAATACTTATATATGGCTCTGAAATATGAGGATTACAACAATATGACAGTATTGAAAGAGTTCATTTATATGCATGCAAAAAGTTTCTTGGTGTAAAACCGAACACATGTAATATGATAGTTTACGAAGAATTAGGTAGATTCTCCCTGTTTATATACTCTTCCATTAAAGCCATAAAGTATTGGGTAAGATTACCGCATATGCCATGCCATAGGTTTCCGGAAAAATGTTATGATATGATGAAATTGTATGACGAAAATGGGAAAAGAAATTGGGTGACTGATATTAGAGAGTTGTTGTAGAAAACAGGTCATGGTTATGTGTGGTGTGATCACAATGTTCAGTGCCATGCAAATTTTATCATATCATTTACACAAAGAATGAAAGACATGTATTTCTATTCTTGGTCGGAATCATTACTTCTGTCCACAAAATGTTTATGCTATAATCAATGGAAATCGGACATATGTTTAGAAGAATATTTAGCAAAAATCAACGTAAAGACGTTTCGTATAGCTCTCTCTCTCATTTTCGTTGCTGTTCCCATGCATTATTTATTGAAACTGGCAGGTATACAGGTATACAAAGAGAAAACAGAATATGTCAATCATGTAATATGAATACTGTTGAGGATGAACTACATTTCCTTCTAATCTGTCCTGTTTATACGACTCTACGAACGAACTACCTAAATTCACTACCTATTATAAGCATCCAAGTGTAAGAATATTAATTTCACTATTAACAGATACTACCGCATCACTATTACAGAATCTGGCAAAGTACATCTATTTCGCTATGATTTTAAGAAAAAGTATTGTTACAGAAAAGAATGTATAAATGATTTCTATCTACTCATGTCAACTCTAAATGTACTACAGGCCTGAGGCCTTTTTAAGTACTGAAATAAAGATTGGTTGATTGATTGAACCACTGGTTTTCCTACTCGACTGAGGTGAGTTACAAATACACAATTCTACGAAAATATTTGTAAGATGTAAGTCGCGGTGATGGACAGGACACACGTAATTATGGTGAAACTCTGTCATCACTGAGTTTTCATTTATCCAATCAAATACCTTTCAACGCTATTTTGCCTTTCAGACTCAATGGAATCTGTTCCGTGGGATAATCGAGACTGGGTATTCTCTGGCGTTGTTTGTTTCTTATGAGTAGATCCGAAAAGTGTAACTTTACATACTGCGCTTTTAAAGGAAAAACAGATTTATTTACTATATTAATGTCGTGGGATGTTGCACCAATGAACTTGATGAATGTTGACTTATCCGTTGAACAATGATATGCACTGCCTAAATTCGGCACGCTGGAACTTTGTGCACACATCCACAGCAGCACTACATATCCATTAAACATATCGATTATAAGAGAGATCACTACATATTGTCAAGTAGCAACCGCCCTACCCCACGTACACCAGCTAACCTCCACCCGAGAACAGAATATTGATCTAAACGTAGGGAATGTTTTACACCCGGGGTACAATTTCCCTCTACACCGGTCTTGACGACCGAGCCGAGAAGGTAGGCGTTGTCTGCTCGGAAACTCAGAGACAATATTTCGTACCTCTGGGGACGTATATTGATTTCAGTATAATTTGGTGTCCGAAGCATGACGTATCTGACGAATAGTCATGTAATATACACATGCTTACAACGAGAAATTCCATGTTTATAAATCTTAAAATGTCAGTTATTTTGTGTGCTTGTACTTTCGTTATCGAACTGGGCCATACATATGATACAAGCGCCAAGTTCGCTGTACAGGTTGAAACATGACATGTGTGTGTTAATGTACAAATACCGCAGAAATGTGTATATTGCCACAGAATACTTATGTGTGAAAATTTAACACTCTGTTCGAATTACAAAGGTCATACAGCTTACATTTCAACCCTCTTCTCAACCCGGAAGTTAGACATCTCGTACCCTACTTTCGTTATGACAATGACATGGCGCTCGCTGTAGACATCCAGACTGGTCAAAATACTCGGACAATGTTAAAGACGTTTACACGAATCAGTGACGCGGTGCACGGGGTGAACAAAGTTCATTTGTGACACACTTACAGGCCCGTCGTCACGTGACCTGAGGTGCATGTAATGTAATGTGGTGAAAACGTGCCATCCGGATGGAGCGAGAATCTTACGTATTTTCGATGAGGAGGAACCAGTTTTCGTACTTTTTTCGACACTGATGAAACAGGATTTTACAATGTCTTCGTAGAACGTATTACGTTTGGTATGTATGTATGTATGTATGTATGTATGTATGTATGTATGTATGTATGTATGTATGTATGTATGTATGTATGTATGTATGTATGTATGTATGTATGTATGTGTGTGTGTGTATGTATGTATATGTGTGTGTGTGTGTGTGTGTGTGTATATGTGTGTGTTAGTGTGCGCGCGCGTGTATATGTGTGTACGAAACCCACAAGTGCGGCTATGACGTAACCAAAACCATAATCAAGACCAATCTGGTGGGATTCCAGCAATCATAGGTTACTGCCACGTCTAAGGGACGCAACTCTGCACAGCGAATCCTTGCAGCCCCTAAACAATCAATGCTTCATGTCCTCTTTCAGATGGCTACCTCTCAGAAGCTGACGGAACATTACTTAACCTGTATCATCTGCTCCGGCGTCTTCAGTAATCCATGTACACTTGTGTGTAATCACACCTTCTGTCGGAAATGTATCGTCAACTACACCAAAACCAGACCAGAAGCCATCAGTGCCAAGTCCCTCCTGTGTCCATTCTGCAGCAAGATGACGAAAGTGTCCGACCCTGAGAGACCCGTGGAGGAGTGGGCGGATGACGTCAAACCTATCTTTCTCATCCAGGGACTCTTGGACTCGTTTGGTCCGGGATCTAAAGGTAGACATGTGTTAAATACCTCCGTATCATACAATGACTCATCAGTATAGTCTATTTCATCATACAAACTGACTTCCAATATTAGCATGCGAGATAAAAATATCTATTTGTAATCCCATTAGTGTTCATAATAATATCAGTGGCTGGTTAAACAGCCAACATATCAAATATTATTTGTGTTCAGGTACTTTGTACAATCTGTCATCGATACACCAGTGTACTGAACGTTAAACACCTACAACGTACAACCTCATCTTTCAGATACAACCTGCTGCAGCTATTGTAAAGAGGAAGGGGAGACAACTCCTGCCTCTGTTTGGTGCTATGTGTGTGATGATGCGTTATGTGGGAGATGCGTCAGAATTCACAACCGCATCCCATCAGCTCGTCACCACGATGTCACTGACCTGTCTGGGGAGGTCAAGGTCAAACGAAGGCGGATGGTCATGTGTAAAGAACACAAGGATGAAAGTGTTAAGTTGTTGTGTAAAGATTGCGGGAAAGCTGTTTGCCAAACCTGTTGTACCATCTACCACAGGCAGTGTGTCTCTGTGGTCAGCTTGGAATCAGAGATGCAGGCAATGAAAGCAGCACTGACGCGGGCGACGGGCAATTTGTCACAGAGAAAGGAGAAAATCAACAAAGAGATCGAGACAAAGAAATCCAAGCTGGAAGACGAAATATTTCGATTTAAAGAAACGAAATCACATATTAACTCTGAAACTGCCAAGGTGATAGAACAGATTAAACTCAAGGAACGGAGACTTCTGGATGAACTGAAAGCGATGTCAGACAAATACATCGGACAAATGAAAGCAGATATAAAATCAGGTGAGATGTCAGTACAGATGTACCAACAACAGACGGAGCTGATAGACCAGGCTCTACAATCTGAGTGTGAGATGGATGTGTATGAGATGTATCAGGGATGTGAGACCGGTGATGTGGAGGCTGTCGGAGACGCTGACCTGAAGGAGGGGAAGAATAGCCAGTGTCACATTCAGACAGGACACAGACAAGCTGAGTAAAGCACTGGACAATCTACAGCTGGGTGAGATAGAGGTCCTGTATGAGAGTGTGCTGGACCTGAAGGCTACTCCTGTGTTACAAGACACCATTGACGTCAGAGTAGCAGGCGATACATCTACAGCGTTGCCTATTGGAGTGACAGTGTTGGTGGTGGGTGGTACAGACACGGTTGTAGTAACCGACTACAACAACAAGAGTGTGAAGTCCTTCTACACTTGCAACAATCAGCCAGGCCACAGTAAGCTCCTGCTTGATAGAGGTCCCTATGGTATTACGAAGTTGACACACGATCAAGTAGCTGTCACTGTGCCAGACACCAAACAGATTGTAACAGTAAAAGTCAAACCAGACCTGGAGTTACAGACAACCATCACAACCAGCAAACAGTATGTGGGTATAACGTCCCTGACTCCATCAACACTAGCAGCTGGTTCCCGCTCTCCTCCCTGTGTTGATATCCTGGATATGACAGGAAACGTGCTGAGGTCTATCAGTCCACTCCACAAAGGTAACAACATCTTACAGTATCCCAACTTCCTCAGTACCACGAGGACAGGTAACATCCTGGTGTCTGACAGTGGAACCAAGTGTGTCGTGTGTCTGACCCCCGAGGGAGATGTGGTGTTCAGCTACAGCCCTACAGGAGACACAGCACTGGGGGATCCTCAGGGTATCACAAGTACCGACACAGGCGACATCCTGGTTACAGACTTCAGACTACACAGAGTCATCCATCTGACTGAGTCAGGACAGTTTGTACAAAATCTGCTGACATCCAAGGACTGTATTCAGGATCCACTTGGACTGTGTATAGATGAGAGAGGGTGGCTACGTGTTTGTCTTGGGAAGGGTGTCATACAGACGTTCTCGTGTAAATAGAGAAACACTGATGAGCTGCTGCTACATGTCAGGACATTCTGGTAGAAACATACAGACAGAAGATGGTAGTGTTGTGCTGCTACATGTCAGGACATTCTGGTAGAAACATACAGACAGAAGATGGTAGTGTTGTGCTGCTACATGTCAGGACATTCTGGTAGAAACATACAGACAGAAGATGGTAGTGTTGTGCTGCTACATGTCAGAACATTCTGGTAGAAACATACAGACAGAAGATGGTAGTGTTGTGCTGCTACATGTCAGGACATTCTGGTAGAAACATACAGACAGAAGATGGTAGTGTTGTGCTGCTACATGTCAGGACATTCTGGTAGAAACATACAGACAGAAGATGGTAGTGTTGTGCTGCTACATGTCAGGACATTCTGGTAGAAACATACAGACAGAAGATGGTAGTGTTGTGCTGCTACATGTCAGGACATTCTGGTAGAAACATACAGACAGAAGATGGTAGTGTTGTGCTGCTACATGTCAGGACATTCTGGTAGAAACATACAGACAGAAGATGGTAGTGTTGTGCTGGTACATGTCAGGACATTCTGGTATAAATATACAGGGAGAATATGGTAGTGTTGTGCTGCTACATGTGAGGACATTCCGGTAGAAACATACAGACAGAAGATGGTAGCGTTGTGTTGCTACATGTCAGGACATTCTGGTAGAAACATACAGACAGAAGATGGTAGTGTTGTGCTGCTACATGTCAGGACATTGTGGTAGAAACATACAGACAGAAGATGGTAGTGTTGTGCTGCTACATGTCAGGACATTCTGGTAGAAACATACAGACAGAAGATGGTAGTGTTGTGCTGCTACATGTCAGGACATTCTGGTAGAAACATACAGACAGAAGATGGTAGTGTTATCAGGACATAAGTGGTATAAACATACATGCAGAATATGGTAGTGTTGTGCTCCTGCATGTCAGGACATTCTGGTAGAAACATGCAGACAGAAGATGGTAGTGTTGTGCCCCTACATGTCACGTCATTTCTGGTAGAAACATACAGAAAGAAGATGGTAGTGTTTTTGCTGCTACATATCAGGACATTCTGGTAGAAACATGCAGACAGAAGATGGTAGTGTTGTGCCCCTACATGTCACGTCATTTCTGGTAGAAACATACAGAAAGAAGATGGTAGTGTTTTTGCTGCTACATATCAGGACATTCTGGTAGAAACATACAGACAGAAGATGGTAGTGTTGTGGGTGTGTCCTCTTGTCTGTCTACAACAAGGTATATCTAATTGTCCATATTGTCACAAAACAACACAAAGTAACTGCCATGTGACGGCGACATGTAGTCAGACCAGACAATCAAGTGATGAACCTGTGTGTTCCTTTTGAAACTGTGTCGGGGTTGGGGGTGGAAGTACTAATGTCCTCTACTTCCATACACTGTGCGTAGGGGTAGCTCAAGGAGAAATTAAGGACAACACAACACAACACTACCATCAGAACAATATATCAATAAATACACAATCGAGACACCTTCTCAACAACGATGGGTTCCAGCTCAACATCCAAGTGTTTCATCACGGAGACACATCCAAACACAAGCAGTCTGAATTTTAAGCCTACCTTAATATATCCATGAAGTTAAACATTTTATACACTTACACCAAGTTTCAGGGGACACATAAGCATCATAAAGTAAGACCAGAAATTATTGAGAATTTTAGGATTATGTTTAATTGGATTTCTAGTGTAAACAACCTTGACCAGCTATCCAGTGCTTGGTTTCATTCAAGAGAGACAACTCCGTTAATCCTTTTTCATTAGTTTGTGAAGAGTTATCCCCCTTTGTTTACTTGCTAGCAGACGACATTTTCAGTGATCCTCAGTATGGATGATTTAGAGAAGAGGAAGTTGATTTTAGAGTATTATAACAAGGACATCAGATCAGCTAAAGTGATTTCAAGTAGAACAGGCATCCCTTTGTCCACTGTTTATCGTGTTTTGAAAAATATTGCAAATGGATATGGCATTGAGCACCAGGGAGGCGCAGGTTCAGAAAATTGACTGTCGGTGACAGGAGGCGGCTTGGTATTCTTGTTTCTAAAAAACAAACCAGTTTAGAAAACTTAAGGCTGGATATGATCGATAGATGAACTGTGGCTGTCTGTAAGGAGACAATTAGAACTGAGCTGCATGCAATGGGTTGGCAGAACAGTCGAGGAATTCCTGTGTGGCTGTTTCCTAATACACCGAAATTCTGGACCAAACAAACTGAAAAACCTTTGTATGAGCGCCCAAAGTACAGTCCGAAATTTAACGTGTGGGGGTGGCATATTTGTGTTAGGGGCAACGCCCATCTGTGTATTTGAAGGGAATATGAACAGTGAGCGGCACACAGATATTCTCGAGGGACATTTACTTCCATTTGCTCACATGTTCTGTGGAAATATTTGGATTTTCCAGCAGGACAACGACCCAAAACATCGTTCAAAGCATTCACAGGCCTGGTTTCGGACCCAAAATATGACATTATTAGATTGGCCAAGCTATAGCCCTGACCTAAATCCAATAGAAAATGTTTGGGGACTTATGAAGGAAAGTGTCAATAAGAAAAATCTGACAAATATTGCTGAAATGAAAGAAGAGGTGGTCCAATATTGGGACAGCATGGACCACGACTTTCTAACTTCTTTGATCAGTAGTATGCCCCGCCGCATTGATGCCTGCATTGCTGCCCATGGTGACTTGACAAAATACTAACTGTTCACCTGTCTTTGAATCTGGAGTTATGTTCTGCTAATATTCACATTTAATACGTGAGTAATGAGTGAAATGTTTTTTACAAATTACAATCTTTAAATTTTCAATAATTTCAGGTTGTACTGTAATTGGTCATTTAATGGTCCCAGATGAAAATGAAAATAAAACAAGTCATCACTGTGAGTGAGTATTGCCTTTTTAAAGAATATCAGAGAACATCACGGCGGGGAATAGAAATGTTTTTTACAAATTCTAACCATGTGGGGTGTCGAACTCGTGTCTTTAGCATGACGAGCGGACGCTTTAACCATTGGGCTACCCCACCGCCCCTCTAGTTACCAGATGACCAGCAACATTCTTATTCTGGATACTCCGTCTGGATGTTTAGAAACTTGATCCTTGTTGTTATACTGTCACTGCAATACCTGTGTGGTGATTTGTATCAATCAATTGGGGGGTCCCCCGCACTATTGTTGGAATATTGCCAAGTGCGATGTAGAACTAAACTCACTCAGTTTTGCGAAACATTTTCGGGGTAACTGTGTAACTGGCAAAAGTGAGTGAGTTTAGTTTTATTATATACTGAACGGCAAAAGAAACGCAAGTTTCGAAGAAATGAAATCTCATGATGGTAAGCGTTCATGTTTATGGAACGTTCATGGTAAAGTGACGTAATGATCCAAGATGAGATGATGTCATGCAATTTGACGTCCATACGAACCATTCGCACAAACACACCAACAGTGCAGCAAAACCATAATTTTAGCACGTGCATCCACGGTTCTGGATGAAAAGCATGCATTTCACTCTGAGGTATCCTTTATAAAGGTTTGTGTCAAAAAACAGTTCAGTATTGACACTAGGAGATGTACACGCCACACAAACGATGCCTAGACTAACGACTGAGCAGAGAGGAATGACCATTGGAAAGTTGCACGGAGGTAGCTCTGCAACCGCTGTAGCTAGACAATTGGGCTGTCATCTTACCACCATTACACGACTTGCTCAACGTCATCAGCAAACCGGGGTTGCTGCTGATCGTCCCCGTACCGGACGGCAACGAGTGACATCTCATGCGCAAAATCGGTTCATCCGGGTCACTCATCTAAGGAACCGAACTCAAGCACCAACAGTAACAGCAGCCTTAGTTCATGGGTCAAGGGGAGCAGTGTCCAGCGATACGATTAGGCGTCGTCTTCGGGCTGCTGGAATCCACTGCCGAAGGCCATATGTGGGGCCAATTTTGACACGCCAACAACGCCAGCGACGTTTGCAGCCCTCCCACAGCAGGGGTGTCGATGGATTATCTGGCTCAAAACAACATTAACGTTTTTCCATGGCCGTCTCTTTCCCCGTATATGGCTCCCATTGAACATTCTGGGACGAAATTGTACGGAGGATTGGTGCAGGTAGACAGCCACTCACACTTGCACAATTGGGAATAGAGATTGGTGTTTGAGCGGACCAATTGCCTCAGGCATTCTTTCAGACTCTAATGAACTCAATGAGGCCACGTTGTACAGCCTGTGTGCAAGCTCAAGGTGGCCATACACGCGACTAAAGAGACTGTCACTTTTTCCCTTCAGGGTATCTCCATTTGACGGACTGTTATCAATTTGAACTTATTGCAATTCAATGTCAACATCAACTTTCAGCTGTTAAATTGACAGTGTTGTCTATAGAATAAATGATGGGACATGATTTGGGTTGTCTTCTATTCACAAACTTGACAAAGAGCCAGACTTGCGTTTCTTTTGCTGTTCAGTATATTTGGGAGTGAGTGAGGGGTGGGGTTGATGTAGAGGGCTTGTTTTTGTTTCTATGTTGTCAATATCCCTAGCCACTTATTAATGGGGACACGGAAGAAACTGATGAGCTAAAAGCCAAAGGAAATGTCCGATAATCTCCAGGGTATACGTTCCGGTAATCTCCAGGGTATACGTTCCGATAATCTCCAGGTAATCTCCAGGGTATACGTTCCGATAATCTCCAGGGTATACGATCCGATAATCTCCAGGGTATACGATCCGATAATCTCCAGGGTATATGTTCCGATAATCTCCAGGGTATACGTTCCGATAGTCACCGCTAAAGAGGATAACCCAGATAACAGCCTATTTCTCTCACAGCTATAATATTCTCATTCTTTATCAAACCAGACCTGCGACGTTTTCTTAACAGTATTACAACGCATACGTATACGTGCTGCCATTTCAGATAGGGAAGACCGCCACCATGTTGTAAAGCTGTTATCTGTGTTGAGGTCTCATAAGGAAATAGTTTCTTTACAGAGGTACATACAGGCAAGAAATAAGTATACATCAGTGTTGAGAGATAAGAAGTGTAACCATAATGTCAGTTCTTGTAACACTTTGTTAGATAATTTACACAATAGTAAAATGTTCTGGTCTGTTTTCAAAAGACTTTCACAAAGTTCATCACGTCGGTCCAATATATCCATAACACAGTGTTATGATCATTTTATGAATCTCTTTAACACGGATGATGATGTAGTTGACGAGGAAAGTATAGATTTAGAGACAGGCGACGGTTTGATAACATTCTCGATTCTCCAATTGTTGAAGGTGAAGTTGTAGAAGCAATCAAGGCTTTGAAATGTAGCAAATCTGCAGGTGCTGACAAATTAATTGCGGAGTTCTTCCACAATTCCTTTGATTTGTTAATACCGTATTTGGTAATATTATTAATGTTCCCTTGCACAAAGAGGGGGATATTCATTCTCTTAATAATTTCCGAGGAATTACAATTTTGAGCATCATTAGTAAAATGTATGTATCTATTTTGAATAGACGTCTTACATTTTGTACTAATGCCTATGACAAACGTGTGGAATCACAGGCCGGATTTTGTCAGGGATACTATACCATTGACAATATATTTCTTTTACAATCAGCCATTCAATGGTATTTATCAACGAAAAGGGGATATGCCGTATTTGTAGATTTCTCAAAAGCTTTTGATCTAGTGAATAAGTCGAAATTATGGATGGCTTTTGAAAAGAGAGGGGTTTCTCCAAAAATGTTAAATTGAGTACAAACTATATTCAGCAGCAAAATAAACGTCAGTACGAGTTCAAAATTAGATAGGCACTGTAATCAAATCATTACATAAATGGACATAATAAGCGGATCAAAAACAGTTTGTGTACAATATTTTGACACATCAGCTGCAGTTAATTAATAAGTCAGCACAATTTCAAGACATTACGTGAACGTTTGCAGTCTATTCAGACTCTTGACTTCAGTATCTAGTGTGACCATCACGAGCGGCAATAACTGCAGCACAGCGTCTATGCTTGGAGTGCACCAATCGATTGATGAGGGCCATTGGCACCTGGAAGCACACTCTGAGAAAGCCCTGGCGCAATAAATCGGCCTTGGTATGACATTATTCAGTCTCCTCTGAATTTCACCCCGAAGATGTTCAGTTGGGTTTAAATCAGGACTAAGGGCTGGTCATTGCATAACGTTGACACCGTGGTGCTGCAGGAAGTCCCGTGTAGCTCTGGCAGTATGGGCCCGGGCGTTATCATGCTGGAAAATGTTGTTCCGGTGACGTGCGAAATGTGGGGTCTGAGAGCTTGGTCGATGTAGCGCACTGCTGTGATGCCGCCTCCTCTCCCTGGACCAAGGTTCTGGAACACCACAGGACCCACTCTCTGGTTCAGGCCTATTCCACTCCATACCATGATGCTTGCGCCTCCCAATGAGTCTATCCATAACACATTGGTCTGAGTAACGCTGGCCACGTCGTCGCCATATTCTTGTTCTGCCATCTGCAGTTGATACGAAGCACCGACTCTCATCTGTGAACATAACAGTTCTCCATTGCCTGTATAGCCAGTTTTGGTGTTGTAGGGCAAACTGTAGACGTTCACGCCGATGACGAGGGGTAAGGATAGATCCGCGGTAAGGTCTACGGCAATGGGGATTCCCACTGTTAAGACGTCGGCGTACTGTATCAGTACTGATTGGTCTTCCGTGTGTTCCCACTGTCTGACGTGATGTCTGCATGAAGGGATTCTCTGTCGCACAACATGGCGGTCTTGTTTTCATCCTTGGTCTGCCAGTACGGGGCGATCATTTGTGGTGTTGGTGGGCCGGAAACGTTGCTGAAGCCTGTAGATGGCTATTTTTTAGGATATTTGACACTAAACTTGTGCCTATTTTACTCCATGGGTCTGGGGTTTGGGACTTAGATAGTGTAACAAATATAGAAACCATTCATATGTTTGCGTGTAAACGCTTCCTTGGAGTGAAGACATGGACGCCAACTTACACAGTACTGGGTGAATGTTGCAGATACCCTTTGTATATTTTTGCATTTAAACGTTCCGTAAAATATAGGATTAGATTATTATATATGTCTAATGTAAGATATCCAAAGAAGTGTTATAACATGCTTTTACAAGCAGCTAATAATGGTAATAAATAATTGGGTTTCAAAATCGAACTACTTATTGTTTCGACTTGGATTCGGCTATGTATGGGAGTCACAAACATTAAGTTGTAAACAATCCTTTATGGCGAAACTTTATCGCCAAACTACGGCAAGATTAAAATGTTCGTTTGAACAGGAATGACACACACCTCTCTTTCCAGCAGTTCTAAAACTAGAAATTATACTTTCTTTAAAGGTACCTTTGGAACGGAATAATATCTCAAACAATTAGATCGCCTCCGTTGTGTAGTGGTTAGAGCGTCCGCCCGGAGAGCGGAAGGTCGCGGGTTCGATCCCCGACCGCGTCATACCAAAAGACGTTAAAATATGGTACTTCTTGGTCCCTGCCTGGCGCTCGGCATTAATGGGTACAACAAGAACTGGTCGGCTCGGAGTCAGTATAATTTGTCTGAGTGGGTATTCATGCTTCACTGCGGCATGGTATCTCAGTGGGATAGCACTATAAACCAGCTTCAGTCTGGGCTAGTACAAGCAGCCGCACATACACACGCATACATGCACGTCGTCATATGAGTGATAAATCAGGGAGAATAGAAGACTGTAGATTATCCCTGGATAAGTACAGTCGAACCCCGTTTATCCGGACATGTTGGTTACACTCGGAAATCGTGTAATCGTGTACATATCATGCCTTTGGCATCAACGCATGTTGGTGTCGTCGAAAACTGGTCATGTATATTTATTATGCAAATCTCTCTCTCTCTCTCTCTCTCTCTCTCTCTCTCTCTCTCTCGGTCTCTCTCTCTCTCTCTCTCTCTCTCTCTCTCTCTCTCTCTCTCTCTCTCTCTCTCTCTCTCTGTTAACGTATTCCAATCTACGAACACAACCTTGAGAAAACGTCCAAGGTAGGCCTCGGAATAGCGCTGGAAATTAGTGGAAACATGTAAGATGCGCCGTTAGACCACAACGTAACTACAACGTTGGTACAATTGGAAAATGACGTATTACAACGTTGATAGAATCAGGGATCGAGTCTCCCTGTTGGAATCGACAGTATAACGTTGTACGGGCGTAATATCCCAACGGGAACTTGTTAGCTGGGTTTAGGTGGTCAAGTCTTTCTATCAGGATTAAACTTTGTACATGAACACTCGTTGATAAAGTTTATTCAAAGCTTCCAATTTATGTTAAACGGATCTAACTCACAATGTTCCATTCAAACCACTATCATTGACATACATCATTCAGTACATTTTCTAACGGGAGGGAAAAACTGGTCCTTTTATTACCTCCCTTGATCGGGACCGCCGTGTTCAGACACGTGGAAACCCCAATCTGGAAGCCATTACGTATTGCAAACGACAAGCTTGTTTACGATCTGAAACAAACGTATCGTCCACTTGAATCTGGAAGAAAGACCCGCAAACTTCTGAACAGTGAATCTACGATCTCTTTGGTATACTTTTGTGTAAGTGCTAATGTTGACAATGTTGAAATGTGCTTGATTTTCGAGTTGTTGCCTAAACTAGGTCATTGAAAACTGGAAATTAATTGATCTTCCTTGTTCTCATTTCGATCGACAACCGCTTGGGCATGTTTGTGATTCTGTAATTACTTTTCATGTTGCATGGTATCCGAGATTCCAATAAATGCATCTGTCACTATCTTTTTCGCACGATATATACATTCACGTTACCGAGGGTGATTTGCGTGTGAGTAAGTTAATCCATTCGCAGTTAATGTTTGCGTTATCGTAACAGAGGATAAGAATCTTGAAGAATTATTTATATTGTAAATCTTAAGATCCAGATCATGGGTGATGACTGACCGGTTCATATCTTCAAAATATAGGCCTTCTGTTCATATTCAAAGGTAGATGCAGCGCTCACTCTGCACGACAATCAAGATGGTCATTCATCAACAAACAATATTGAGCCTACTTGTACACATTCCCTGCCTGCAGTTTACGGCATTTTATGTCAGCGTTTACTTAATAAAATAACCTCAGAACAAGCAATGGAAACAGTTAAACAATATTGTTATCTTGTCCAGAAGGATATACCTCCCGAACACAGATAGGTGGGGTGAGGTGAAATTGGGTTTAACGTCGGGCATGAGAATATTTCGCTCATATGACGACGTGCATGCGTGTGTATGTGTATGTGCGACTGCTTGTACTAGCCTAGACTTAAGCTGGTTTTATAGTGCTAGCTCACTGAGATACCATGCCGCAGTGAAGCAGGAATACCCACTCTGAGTACGTCACACCATGAAAGTATTAATGAGTCCAAATCCTCGCATTGCTGCATGGATTTGTCAAAATCTTCATCAGCACAGACACTGCAGTTAAACAGGTTCCATTGCGATCAGAAAAAACGTAACAGTGAGGAAACAGTAAATGAGTGAAGTTATATTTTTCTGTATCAACTAACGTGGAGAAATAAAATTGACTTGCCCAAATCATTGGACAACCTCTAAACATTTGGTAGTAGACAAACTGAAATTTAGGTTGTGTTGCCTCTGTTTTAGTCACATAGAGCCTGTTGTGCTGCTTTCATTGTAACTGAATAGCATAATATGTGAAGGGGTTGTTTCCAAATACTATGGTGTCTTAATACTAACACTGCATACTTTGATTCCAGGTCTCCCACAACAGGAACAATGTCGGAGGATTTTGATGTCGAGGCAATGTTGGAGGCTCCTTTCAATAAAGAGGTTCGTTTTGATATGAGACATTATTTTTCAATGGCCAACAAGATAATTTGAGAAAGATTTATTTTACCAAGGATATCTCAAATGTAACAATTTCTAAATACCAAACATGGGCATGTTTGTAACATGGTGATAAAGTATAGGTTAAAGAATCCCAATATACTGCTAATTGTTTGTTCTAACAACATGATTTGAGAAATGGAGGCTTTCACATGTCATGTTTGTAAGCATATTTGCTGAGCAGCAAATGTGCTCTGTAAGTATTTGGTTGCATGCATGAGTTCTACTATCATGATGTGACAAACTTGTGATATTTCAGGATATTTCAAGTGCAGTGAAAGATGATCATGATGATATACTTTAGCAGCAGGTTTACATTGTTACAGACCACACAGGTTAAAATATAGGATATCAAAAACAATTGGACAAGACAGTGCTTAAAATATATGTGTGAAAAGGTGAGGTGATTGAATATGAGTGATTGTCTTAAAGATACACAGGGCTTTAAATAATACATAATATTTTGTAATATGGACATTGTGCAGTGGAGTGAATCAGTTTTGCAAAGAACTATAATTTGTACTTTATGTTTATATGGTGTTATTCCTTAATTTATCCTTCTCTGAAAGTTCATCAGTTACGCTTTGTTCAGGACTGTTTGCACTTTTGCTTTGCTGTGTTTGTAAAATTTGGATTGGGAATTTCTTGATGCATTTTGTTAGTGTCCTGTTAGTAAATATATATAAAAACTTGTTTCACATCTGGACTGAATACAATATTTATGCTGGAGATTTTTTTTGTCTTAGATTGCCAACTCTGTTACATGTACAGCTAGCCCCTACTGTGCTTCATGGCATACATGACAGAAATCCAGGTATCCCCCACTTCCAACAACAAGAAAAGCATTTGACTTGTATTCATGCTTTTTTTTTTGTACATTGGTCAGTGACTAAGTATAAAAAAAATTCAAATAAATAACTATCGCTTATGAAATAAGTGCCATGCTATGAACCAAGTACCAAACATCTGCATGCACAATTATCTGAAGATGTATACAAATAAGAGCAACATAAATCACATCTGATTCAATGGGACCACTTCAAGTGAAATGGCTTTAAAATGTTTTCCAGTTCAGATGAGAGCTTCTATTCCAGCTGATAAAGTGACTTCATTCTTAAAAAGAACATAAGTTGTTATTCTGTATAATTTGAGTATGAGAAAGCCAACTGAAATTTTGCCCCTCCATCTCACCTCAGATAACACATGGACGTTGGACAGCAGCTGTTGGAGCCAGCCCGTCCGGTGGGGAATCTTAGCATCCTGACTTAATGCCATGATTCATCAAAGTCCGCTCCACAAAGAACTGGATTTCTAATCACCTTGCATCAATACTAAGAATCATGTTGTATGTGTGCTCGACAAGATAGTGTTGTGATGTTGGCAAGCAGATTGGAAACTTTCCAAATTATTCAGGGATATTTAGTATTTCAAATTTCAGATCCCATTTCTTGATATTTGTGAAACATGAAAAGTCAGCTATATTGAACTTCAATGTCTCTCTCTAATGAAAAGTAGCAGTAAGCTTCAGGAATGGAAAGAAGTTCAAATTTTGAAAGTTTCCAATCTTCTGTGTTAGGGTCCCAAAGTTTGCTGATAAATTTACACCTTTTATTTCAGCCCAGATATGGTAATGTGAGACATGTCAGATATTCTAGGAGTAACATTTGTAACAGTGCCATCTTAAGTTGCACCTGAACTAATGCTTTGTGATTTGTTCTCCTTCCTTCACCCATTGCTGTGCTGATTTCATCAATGTGCTGTTTTGGCCTCGCAGGGAGAAAGAAAAGGAAGTGGATCTCATGAAGACAAGAAAAGGTTAGAGTTCAAGCCAATTATTTTTGTAGACAACTTGCATAGTGTAGGCCAAGTTGTACGAAGAGTTCTTGTTTACTATAAGGAATACAGTAGCTACAGGATTTGTTATGCCGCACCTCACCTCACCAGGAGATCTGTGACCTTAAAAAAAACATGATTGTCTATCAATCATCCTTAAAGTGAAAATCCAGAATGATAGATAGCAGATCACTTAGCTGTGAGATTGAGTGTTGTGTTCAGACTAGTCTAAGCAAGATGGTGTCTACAATGTAAAAAAAACTCCCAAGTGTTTATCTTCTCATCAGAATACCAGCTATTTCAATCTAACACATAATGGTTTCTGTAGGCTTTTGGTTGTGGAGCCCTACGTCCTGAAGAAAAGTTGTGACCACAAACCGTGCTGTTTCTCAAAGGAAAGATCTATCACCACAAATATTGGAAATAGTCCTTTCCCTGTTATTTAAGAAGGGATTAAATGACTACAATATTCCAGAATTTGTGCTTATGATGGATTCATTCATCAGCGTTTTATTTCCTTTTTAGGGTGCAGCTATCCCGAATCTTAACAACTCTTCAGCCACTTTTCTAATTGTAATTTGTTCTGTATATTGAAATAGGTATCTCTTTGAGTGCTATAAGAGCAAGATCTTTGAAATTGATGCTAACCTGAGCGTTAACCAGGTATGTGAGCCCTATGATCAATGGGGTACAGGACTCGCTCACTGTAATGAGTAGAAGTGAGGAACATAGAACAAACTGCTACTTGCAGAGGTTGATGCAGAGTTTACCTTATTGTGTCCATACGGTATTTATTTCATAGGGAGCTGTTTGCCAAATATTTTATGAACTCTGATTTTTTTAAGTGCTTGTGTATGAGCTGTCAAATTTACTGTATGTTTACCCTGTTTCGGTAACAGTGTTTGCATTGTGTTTTATTCTTTTGTTCTCAAAAAATGAGTTGAGTCTGAAGAATGTTTAACTGATGTCATAAAATACCAATAAGAGCTAGAATACCCTGAGTCTGGATCAGCTTTCTCTTTTCACTGCCTTATCGTTGGGAAATTAATGTAACTTTTGTGTTACAGTCTATTCCAGTCATAAGCGCAGCTAAGGTTTAATGATCTGAAACTCTTTGGGGTTATTAGATGAAGTTTAGCATTATGCACTGAACGAAATATGTTTTTCTCAGCAGAAAGAAGAGGAGCCCAAGTAAAAGCCGTGACAGAAAAAGGTAAAGTTATGAAATATTTTATTCCATGTTATCACAACATTATTTGATGTTTTTGTAACTTGAAAAGAATTCATTTGGGTATTGTTTTGCTTATTAACTAGAAGACGAAACCAAACATCTTGTCTATGTTTTCTATCTTTGCCACAACATTTTGTAGGCTGGAGGCAGAAGTTGTTTGCTGATGTTATGTATGCCAATCGTTGACAGTTAAACTTTTTTCAAGTGAAATAGTAAGTGATAATTTTTCATGTTGGGCTTGTAACTGTTATTGCTGCAGTTGTTATTTGACATAGTAACAGCCTAAGCTCGTGTCTCATAGATGGTTGTAGGTTTGAATGTGGAGTCAAGAGTTAGAACATGATTACTTAAACACTCCTTGAGCACTATTGTGCCAAATTCTACAGGTTTGTATAAATTTCTTGGTACTTGTTTTTGCAGAGATCGAGATAGAGATCGCGATAAGAAACGAAAAGGCGGTGAACTCCGGAGCAAGAGTCGAGATAAACGGAGCAGAAGCAGGGATCGAGATCGTCGACGTCGAAGCAAGGAAAAAGAAAGACGTAGAAGTAAATCTCCAATCAGGAAGAGACGCAGTCGATCAAAAGAAAGACGTCGACCAAGAAGTATTAGCAAGAGTCCAGTCAGGTATGAATATGTTATGACATCTTGTAGTGATTACCTTACCAGACCTAATCGATCATAGAATCATAGTATATACTGATACCATACTATATGAACAACTATCTGTTAACAGTTATATCCTAAATTTGTTAAGTATTTATTGATGTTTTTGTTTGCCCACAGAGAGACCCTCCCTGAGTTGACTCCAGAAGAAAGGGATGCTCGGACAATATTTTGTATGCAGCTGTCGGCGAGAATTAGACCAAGAGACCTGGAAGAATTTTTCTCTTCGGTTGGAAAGGTAAGGCTGGTGCAGATTTTCACACATAACAAAACCCAGTAATGGTTTGATGGGAACACTTACAATGTAGTTAGCAGGGTTTACTTTGAGAAACAGGCAGTGGTGTAACTTTGTGGTTAAAGCATTCGCTCGGCATTCCGAAAACCTGGGTTTGATTCCCCACATGGGTACAATGTGTGAAGTCTATTACTGGTGTCTCCCTGCCATGATATCGCTTGAATTTTGCAAAAGCGGCTTAAAACTAAACTCACTCACTCATTCACACTTTGAGAAACATGTTGCAGTGATCATTTTGATTAAGACTGCAAAATCTTTGTACATTAACCCATTCAACACCGTAGGCTGGAAAACGGTCCAAGACATCACGAGTCCCCAGACACCGTAGGCCGGTAAACCGGCCAGGCAGTAGTCACATCAAAATTATATATAATTTTAGGAACCTAACTAACAATTGATTCTTTTGTCAAATCTATCACTTTTCACAATGTCTGAAAACCCTTATTAAATTTCAAATGACCATATGTTATTGACAGGATTAGAATTATAAACTATTTTTTCCAATGTTATTGAAAAAAACAATTCTCGGACACATGCTTAGGCAGCGGGTGCACAATAATATTGTCAAAGAGCAAAGTAACAACGTTTCGAGGAAATCATTAAATAAATTGAATAAACTAATGAATAAAATCAACAACAGCATTCATAAAAGATGTCAAACGTACATATAAAATTACTATTTCCTTCTTTTTGTGCGATCATGTAATGTAAGTCAAGTCACTGACAAGTGACATCTCGGCTCTCGCTGCCTCAGTCTTCACGCCCGGAACGGATGTTTAATGCGAAAATATATGCATGAAGCATTTTTGTCACATGTCATAACCTAGCACGATACGTCCAATAAGTTCCATAATTTACGTATAGGTAGCCATTTCTTGCTTAAAATGTTCAAATTAGCATTATTTTACCCAAAACTTTCGTCTAAATCTAAACGTTTTCATTTACGAGGACAGTATCCATTGCCGTAATATGATTGGCTGCCTTAGGTCACGACCTAATTTGACCAATCACGACCCTTATAGCAGACTGTGCCAAAAAAGCATCATTAGAAACCAATCTTTATCCAATAAAATCTCTTCTTACAACTGTGAAAATACTCTCAGCAAGGGTACAGTGATGTTGATGCTCAGAGCTTTCGAACGATACCCGACATCAAACGATTCGTCTCCCATGTTATTCATATGAAGCTTAGAAAATGGAGTTATTTTCCGTTGTTGTGTCCTTCATATTTTTCTTATCCTGACTCATGTTTATTTGCTTGTCTTCTTCTTCTGGCTTAACCTAGTGGAACACTTGTATCTCCCAATTGAAGTTCCCTTCAATAAAAATCACTCATTAGCACTGACCACGAAGTTACCTCCCTTCCACAAGCTGAACGAGGGCTTCACCTGAACCCATGTGCCTCACTCTCTCCTTCTTTCAGCCCAGTGAGCAAGACGCGAGAGCACCTGTGTCTCCCCTGCACACTATATCCTTTATTTATATTTAGTTTGTTACCTCTTATATTCATCTATAGAGGTGTAACTAGTATCATTATTCAACATGCATTGATAATTATTCGTGTTTCTGCTGCTTGATTCACGGTTCAGCGTGTTGCTCAGCAGTTTGCGCTAATAAAAATCTGCACTGTTTGTAAATTACGCTACTCTGCTACCGATCCACATTTAAAATGCCCTAGTTGCATTACTCCATGTTCTATTGTTTCTTGTTGTAAATTATATATTAATTTACCAATTTCTGCCTTTGATAAATATTTATGTTCCGCTTTGAGACGGAAGGCAGATAAATCTCGAAACAATCTTCAGTCATGGCTAATAGATCGGAGTCAGATATATCCTGAGTTACCTTCGGGATAAGCGTGGGACGAGTCCGCTATATCTAGAAGCTTACCTGATTCCCAGGACGCTCCTTCATCACAGTATAAAACTAGAAGAACTTCCACGCCGTCTCAACGTATGCTCCGAGCCCCCAGGTTTACAGCCTCGCAAAGGGAAATCCACGAAGACTACTAAAAACTTTGCTTCTGATATTCAGAATTATGTTTATATGATGATGACATTTCGATTATCATTCCAGATGTATGTCATAAGAAGTGACCAGTACGGCTACCGCCACTTCAGCGCAGATCAACATGCAATCAGAGATGCCTACGCTGACGCCGAGATTATAACTGAGGGTCCCGCCACTATCACAGAGAGGACACCCTCAACGCCAGCGCAGACCATCCCAGACCTACCTGGTCAACCAAATCATGAGGCTGATGGAAGACCGCTACGGCTTACAGAGGCCTCAGAGCCACGGGCCCCAGAGCCCACCCCATACTAAGTCATACAGGGCCCCAGAGCCCGCCTTTGACTTCGCTGTAGGGCCCCTGAGCCCATAGACGCTTCCTCCGCTGGCGGGCAACCCTGCCCGGAGTGAGCTCTTTGCATAAGGTATCCCAGGTCAGCCCGAAGGAGCTAGAGTCTGACCCTTTGCAAGAGGCTTCATGGGAGAAGGAGTGCTTCGCCTAGCACGCACCTTTGTCATGTACGGCGGCGCGCAGCAAGCACTCATATGTCGGATCGACACTGACTCCAGACATTCGCAAGCAAGACGCCAAGGCTAAGTGGTTCTACAACGCCTAGAAGACGCTCACAAGAGCCCTCAACGCTCGAGAAGCCCAGAGCGCCGGGCGGCCATCACCGCTCTCAAGCCCACAGTTCCGCTGGCGATGTCTTCTCCAAGGTCTACATACACTAGCCAATCGCCAGTCCGCTCTCCTCAGTCCTCACATAGATCTTCTTACAGATCGAGGTCTCCTCGACATACCACCATACGCCAGAGGAAGACGATGGTATCATTTAAGATCGGACTCTAGACACTTCGCTAAGGAAGTCCCAGGTCAGCCTCGCGAAGGAGCTACAGCCTCACCAATTGAGAGGGACATCGCGAGAGGGAGCGCCACGAGCCCACACCCTGTAGAACACAGAGGTCGTCTCGGGCAAGCTCATATATTAACTCTGACTCGATACTTTCGCTAAGGTCGCTAAGGCTAAGTGGCTCCAAGTCTACTTTCACCCAGAAGATCTAGAAGCGCATTTCCGAGATCTTCGCTAAGTCCCCGGGCGTCACGCCGAGGAAGTCTCCTCCAAGGTCTCCATATACTCAGCCACTCGTCATATATAGCCACTTTCGTCAGTCCGCTCAAGACATCACATGAGTTGTTTATCAACTGTAAGCCATATGCCGCCTACAAGCCTACGCCAAGACAATTGCACAGGCTATTTACAACACACAACGCCGCTGTATTAATTTATCAACGGATGAAGAGCCTAATTAGGGATCTTCGCCGACTACCTACTACGATATACGATTATCTACATGCGACCATTACGCAGATCTGCAGACAATTCAAAACGAAATTGAACAGCAGTCTTGTTACAGCTTAGTAAAACTCATAATCGCCAACGATTTCCTCAGAAGTAATATGTACAACAAGTTCAGCTTTAACAGTCTACAAGCTGACAACTTGCAAGGTTATTGAACCTTATATAAAGAAGTCGGAATTATCTTCAAGACTGAAGTTACTTTCACGACAACCTGGAAAATAACTTATCCAGCATTAATATTACAGAGCGCAGGTATTTCGCTACCGGAGGTTTCGCTACCATCAACCCTCAAACACGTATCACTGGTAACTTCGAAGTTACGTGAAGACCGACGATTGTTCTAATATCAACGACGGCACTATATTATACAAGGTTCCTTTCCTGATACACCGTGACGCCACAGCTGGGTACTCTACAGAATCAAAATGCCTTGTTCTGATTGGACCGAGATGGACAACGCCTCACGCAGAGGTCGATCATAGTTCACAGTTCAACACATAGGTTGCAAGTGACAACAATATATCAGTGAACGAGCAAGCCTCCTTACAGTCCAGCTAATCTAAACCTTCATGATTGGGCTGCCTTCTTGAGGTTAGAGACCTCCCCGTCAAGTAAGACGAGGACACGGCAGTCAGACGATTTTTACATAAAGTTCAACGATGGCAGTCACCCCTGGTTATGCATCTACATCGCCAAGCACTTCGCGAGCGAATTTACCTCGACGACGGGATACAAATGGATCCAAATCCATAGCGCCTCAGACTACAGTTGAATTCATCATCAAGCTACTAACACAACTAGATGGTTAGTAAACCTACTTAAGTTGGACCTAGAACCTTCGCAAGATCTGCTATTCTAGGTTTTGATTTGTAACGGCGCAGAATCGTATAATTGTACCGAGGACCATGGATCAAGATCCAACAGTCATTTCCACAAGCCTTACTATCTCCACTACCACTACGACAGTGACAGAGTCTGTTGGGGTTACGACTTCAGCTCAGCTCAAGACATGACAGACAGAGGCAGACTACAATTACATCCGCTACAAGTCATCAGCAATTCGATCTAGACGAATCTCTACCGCTCAATCATCGGTTCAGGTCAAACCTCATCTACTATGATGCACCAAGAGATCGAATGTTTGAATAGGCGCCTCGCTAATAGAGCTGGAATCGATAACACTTCTCTACGTAGATGTGTCACTATAAGGTTGGGGAGCCCATCTTGCCAACAGGACGCATCAGGGCTATGAGCAATCAAGAGAGCAATTACACATAAATTTGCTAGAGATGCAAGCAGTAATAAACGCCTTTAATACACTGGAGCAACTTACTACAGTATACCCAGTGGATGATTCACACAGTCAATTCGACAGTGGCATTTTTATGTGAACAACTAAGCTCAACCAGGTCCCCGAACATATCGACTCTGTTTTCAATTGTTCGATTTAATCAACAATCTCAACATACATGTCAGAGCATATCACATTCCAGGAGCAAAGAATGTGATAGCAGACGCTCTCTCTCGGCCACACATACCATCGCCGACAGAATGAATGCTCCATACAGAGAT